TGATGGTGATTTTGTTGAATTTTGTACAATTTTTAGACGTTTGCCTATATGTTTATATTTATATATATAGATTTTTTTTTATTTATTTATATTTTATGATCCCCACTAGAGATTTGAAATGGTGTACTTAGTTTTTAGTCAATTTCTTATTAATGTACTCTTTGAATACAATTAACTTGTTTTATGATAGGCTATAGATTGGTCCGAATAGTGATTGAGCTCCTTCTTTAAGATCAATAAAACAATGATAATGACAATGCTGTGAAAGAATATCTGTATTTTTTTTTTCAAAAATATCTTAATAATCTTAGTATTGGCTTGGAATATTACATGAATTCTATTTTCTATCAACAGTAAGTGTAGCATTTGTAGCAAAAAGATACCCTTCTCTTGCTCCATACATGAAAGTTCTCTCATCCATCAATAATGGTTTAGATGTTTCAATCTTATGGATTTCTATTTGTCTTGTAAAATCTTGGATTAAACTATGGAAATAATCAAGGTTATGAAAAATCTAATTTCTTTGAGGATTATATTTTTTAACCACAATAACTCTAAAATAATTTAATTAGAGTAAGATCTTATAATATTGAATATTCTTAAATTATTATGACTACTAGTTGCTACTTCCAAAGGAACAATTTCATGTGCAATAATTGTTGAAGATAACAAACAACCATCTATTATTTCTATATGTATAGGTTTGATTTTCTTAACTAATTTTATATCTTATTTTTTGACAAATTCTTTGTCTATAAAATAGATTGAGGCTCCTAAATCTAAAAAGACTAAGACTTTGTAATTTTTTTGGCCCTAAACAAACTTCTATTATAAATAAAGTGAGGGATTTAAAGAAAGAATATGACCTTTACTAGGAATTATAAAAGATTTTAGTTGCACGGTCCTTATTGTGATTGGAAAAACTTATTTTTTGATATGTCATGCTCTTTGGCAACCATGTTCTTTATTTTATGATTGACTTATTTCTCTAGACAATGTTGAAGAGTGTGATTGGATTCTCCATAATATAGGCACAAACCTTCTTGATGATGATGAGTCTTTTCTTGCTTAATAAGTCATTTAAAACATACCATGTCAATTTTCATAAGCTTTGGACTAAATAAATAAGCTTCAAAAACTTAAAAGATATTGATATAGTTTTACTGATACTTCTTCAACCAAATCTTTTGGCATCTTTCAAAGAGCCAATTCTTGCATGCAATGGCTTAAGCAATAAATTGTTCTTGTGAATGTGTTCTTGACATTATTAACAATAAATCTTTGACACTATCTTTTAATCTATATCAAAACTTATTCATAAGGACTTTGTCCTTTCAATCCACATTACAAGTAAGATTTTAGAAATCAATAGCATATGTGGTGATTGAATGTAATTCTTGTTGTAGCAATATAAGCTTGGTCTATTCTATCCTTTTATAATCAATTTTTTAAAATATAACCATAAATACTTTCAAGAATGAATTCAAATCATAGAATAGTTGTGAATCTTTTTGCATCAAAGATGAAAACAAAGAGAGAGCACTTTCTGATAGAAGTGTACTTATAAATCCAACTTAAGTAAATCCATTGGGATATTAGAAAGAATGTAATCTTAAATAGAACTTAACTTATTGCAAAAATCCTTGAAATTTTGATCTTATATCACTAAACTTCTCAGGCATACTAATCTTTGTCTTTCTTGTGCTTCTAAAAATAAGACTTCCTAAATTTGGTTGTAAAGCTAATCTTCTTGCTTCTTTAAATTGCACAACTTCTTTGCATAGACTTTGGACTTCTTTCATATATATAGGAATTGTACTTCCTTGATTCATGTTAAAAATACATGAGATTTCTACTCTTAGAATATTGACAAGTTCGTAAAGATTTGCAATAGTTGCAAATCTTTTTTCACTTCTATTAAGATTAGCATCTATAAACTTTCTTTCTATAGATAATTTATATAAATTTTAAAAAATTAATTAAACAAGGATAATTTGTAACCTTTAATATCAAATGAAAATTTCCACAAAGAAGGATAATCCACTCTTTTTAAGGAAAAAATCAATATTATAAAACTAAATTATTTGTTTAAAAATGGATAGGTTGCAACCTTTAAAATGCAATAATAGTAGTCAACTAATCCAGTCACTTCTAAAACAAGATAAGAATAATAAGTTAATATTCTTTTCAAACTATTAAGTACATAAATCTTAAAGAAAGAAATCTTCAATACATTCTTGTGTCATTTAAAAAGACTAAAAAATCATTAAAAAATGGTAATATATTAAATTATAATGGCTATTGCCGAAGACAAGAAGATTAATAAGTTTTAAAACAAAACTAAGAATCAAAAAGGCATTGACAAGAATGAAGAAGGTTTCATTCTTGCCTCTATATATACTATCTAAGTAGGAGCTACATGGTGATGTTCTATAGGACCTCTAATATATATTGACTTTTTTAGATACATGTTTTAACTTCCAAATTAAGTTTTCTATTTGTGCACTACTTAATTAGCTTATTTCACACGTTGCCAATATGTGTAACACATGGCTAACTTATTGACCAAGTTTCTAACCTACCAGTTAATTACAAACATATATAAAGTCAAAGCAGTGTCTATAAAGTTCTAAAAAGCTTCTCTAAAAGTTAATATGAAATAAATATATTTTTACTTATTTCTACTTGATCATATAGGTAATTAAGAGAATAAATATGTATCTTTGTGACAACATCTTGACAAAGCCAAGTTTGCAAATTCATCAATTAGCTAATCTTGATTAATACTTAGTACAAGTTTATACATTCTAAGAAAGTCAAAGTTGTCAAATTTATCAACTAGCCAATTTCAATTGGTTATTGCTACAAATTGATACCATTTGAGTAATCAAAGGTTGTTTATTTGACCAAAAGCAAATCTCAATCATAACTATTGTAAGCTTATACATTTTCAAAACAGCCAATATTGTTATCGTAAAAATATAATTTTTCTATTAAGAATATAATATTGAATAATAGAACATAAAATTTACAAAATAGTTGAATAAAATATATTAAATTAAATAAAAATAGAAAAATTTAGCACATAGAAAAAAAGAGCAATAAGAAGAGTAGGTATTGTGAGAATATGATTTTTGTGTTAGGAATAGAATAATCAATATTGAAACTTAAATTTATGGAAGAATTAGTAAATTAGGCTAGATTAGGTGGAACTAGAAGTTTTAAACCACTTAAGAGAAACAAAGAAAACAACATAAAAAAAAAAAAAAAAAAAAAAAAAAAAAAAAACTTATACAACCTATATATTATTTATAATTAAATATAAAACAATAGATATCTTAAAATATTAAGTTATATGTATCTTGAATTAGTTTCTTTTGCAATGTCTATCGATTCTTCTGTTTTCATGTTGCAATAATCTACTAAAACTTGTTGTATACGATCAAAACACAATTAATATAGAATGAGAGATAAGAATATTAGTTGGTAAAACTCTGTATAGCATGGTCTCAACTCATTTGGAGGCAAGGAGATAGGTTCAGTCAGGACAGAAGGCTTACAGGCTTTCAGATCTTAGCTTGATTCATATTGACTGTGTTGGTTGGTTTCATTTCTGCTCGTAGAGGTGGATTTCTTCTGAAGTAATTCACATTGTAGTTTCTTTTCGTGCTCTTGGGCAACAGTACCTTGGAGGATTTTTTTTTATAGAATCTGTGGGTGGTGAATGCGAGTGCTGGCATGCTGCCTCCAGTTATGATCCTCGGTTGTTTGAAACTCAGCCTGTTGCCATTGGGTAGGATTTCTGAAGTGAGCGAAGCCTGGCAGTTGGTTGTAAGAAAAAAAACATGCATACTTCCTCATGTCCAGCCTCTGCTTTGGAGGGGTTTAAGAATCCGAGTCCTTCAACACGGATTAGTTGCTGTTGGGTTGATGGGCACACACCAAGCAACTATGTATTGCTTTTGTACACTACAGCAGACGATGAATCTAAACTTGAAGCTCATCTCGACTCCAATTTGTTTGACACTGGACTTGAAAGTCACGTTTCCTCAGCACATCCATGTCTTGGCGGATATTCCATGAAAAGATTCATCACTGACAGATTGATCTTGTCTAGTCCGTAAAGCATTATGTTGCTGTAGATCTACTTCGTTTCTTTAAAAAAATTCTGGGTTTTTCCCACTGCGAGTCATAGCTAAGTGTTCACTCTTTCAACAAAATCCGATCTGACTAACCCAGGATTTGGTTGACATTCAAGATCCTGCTTGTCAGATATTGTGTGGCCTTCATTTAAAAGTGGATTAAAGTAGCGTTGTGCAAAGTTACAGACACCGATCTGTCATGTAAGTGTACTAGTTACGCAGCCAAGGTTTGCATGTGCTAATGACTTTTCAGCGTTATTGGTGCCACAAATCGGATAATCTCTGAAGAGTTTTCGCAGTCAATAGCATTGGAATATCAAGTGAACGCAATGCTTTTTGGATAACTTAGCTCGGACCGTATGGTTGTTTTTCGATTTCCCGTTTTCAAAGAAATCCTGAGCATATTTAAGGGCCAGTGTTTTGGTCAATCTGATATATGCGAATGGTTCTAGAGCTTGAGTCGTTGATGTTGGATAGCCCTTAGCGAGGGAGATGTAGCCGCTATTCATCTTCTATTTTTATATGTTTAATTATTTGTTTCCAACAAGTTTGTTGAATTCTCTTACTTGAACACTTAATGAGGAATGTAGATGTGAATCTTTGCATTTCATCGCCGATTTCGATTATTAAAATTTGGATCGGTGCCCAAGACATCCACAAAATGGCAGATCACGCTCGCCAGACTGTACAAGTCACCAATGGTCTCACGCCAAGAATTGCAGGAAGAATCAAAGTACCAGTACATAAAATCGCAGGAAAACGCATTGCTCGTTGCCTCTTCGACGAACGAAGCTGGCTGTTCCTCGTTCTTCAGAATAAGACGAGGCATAGCTGATGAGAGCTATCGACCGCTGACTGCTCGATGCGCTTTCCCACCAGATCAACGACGGATAGCATGACAATGCACTTCGTTCTCATCGACGCTTACGAAAGCGATACCGTAAGTTTCGTTGTCCCTCTCTTTTGGACAGTTGCATGGTGGAAAGCTCACAGTAGATACAAGAGTTTGAGGTTGCGAAGCTGATGACTGCAAGGCTATGGCCATCGTGAAAGCGGCATATGTAGTAGTAGTCACCTGTTTTGTGATTGCAACCGTAGTCGATGGCAAGATTGAGAAAGAAGTGACGGAGCTTCAGATTGGCGTGAAATTCAAGCCCAATAGCTGCCAATTGAAGGCGCATAATGGCGACTCCGTGAGTGTGCACTACCGTGGCACGCTCACCGACGGGACGCTGTTTGATGAGAGTTATGGTCGAGGCCAACCATTTGATTTTAAGCTCGGGCAAGGGTCTGTCATTAAGGGCTGGGATCAGGGTATCCTAGGGATGGGCGTTGGGGAGAAGCGGAAGTTGAAGATCCCTGCCAAGCTTGGCTATGGCGCTCAAGGTGCCCCGCCAAAGATCCCAGGAGGCGCAACTCTGATCTTTGAGACTGAACTTGTGGCTGTGAATCTGAAAACTGGCTCTGGTCTCGAGGATGTTAAGGATTCCGGAGTTAACGTCGATGAGTTTTAGATAAGGCTTGCTTCTTCGCAAGAAATTTGGAGTAGTTTGTTAGGGTTAGCTGATGTGTCGCTTGATCCTCGTCTTAGGTCATGCGATTGGTTTCTGTAGTAACTGGTGACATTAGAGACCTTTGAGCAGTCAGTCTGCGGATAAGTCATTGTCTTGAAGTTTTCTCGACAGGCCGAACTGATAGGATGTTACAATTAAATTTATTGATTCATCGTTCAACCTCATATGATTTAATATCAAAACGTTGCTATGCCTTAGAGGCTCACGTTAGTCCTTTTCGAAGCCTCAGTGTGTACCTGATTTGCAGTTATGACATTCTAGAAATATGCGAACAATGAATTGCGCTTTCATTTGACTTCCTAAGTCGGGAATTCACTTGATCGTGTCTTAGGATTTCCATTACTTCTCTTCAGTTTCCACAATGGGGCCATTTGTCTGACCGGATCCTCTTGCTTTGTTTTGTTCTCCTATTTGCTCTTGACTCAGAAGGTTTTGTTTTCCTCGTATTTGTTTCTTCTATTTCTGAATAATTTCTATACGTATGTAAGCCTCGATTGAATATCGTTAGTATATCAAGGCCCATCTTAAACTCAAAGCCAAAGGTTGTGAGCTTTACATAGATTTATCATTTGTCGTGTTTTAATATCTTTGGCAAGTTGATAAAATTGAGAAGTCTCCTGAAAGACTAAATGATGTGAAGTGTACTTTTTACCTGAAGTTTAAAAGAGTTTAATGGTTATAGTACTCATTTATAAGTTTTGAGATGGACTTGACTGGTTGCTGAAATTCATGTCAATTTAGAACACATTGATGTGTTAGATATTTTGCTCACTTCCAAAACTGGATCCCTCTAAAAGTCCACCTTGAGGTGACCAGCAAGGGTCCCAAAGGAACCTTGTATGTAAAGTTACTCTTTCGAGTTGTGCATACACGGTTTTAGTATTTTGAATCATAGCGCATACAGAAAGTTTGAAGAGAATGACAACCAAGATTTTTTTGGAAATCATTTCCTGTCATCAGTGTATACAATATGTAACTTCACTAAATGTCCTCTTTAATGGAAGTGATTTGATCAGGGCAAGACAGTTCTAAAATCTGCAATACGTTGATTTTCCCGAGAGCTCCAACTTTCAGGGTCAAGAACAACAACAGAGTGACAGGTGTCCAAGCGCAGTTCTGCTAGTTTGAGGCCCCGAAGTTTTAACTACCTTCAACGGCTCGTGGTAGTTCTGTATACTTGGGAAGATGGACACGTGCCCGTAGCGTTTAAGTGTAGGGACTGAGAAGTTGAGTTGAATGCACAATTTTAGGTTAAGTTTGAGAGATAGTCAATGAATGTCAAATTGTGGTTTGAGTTGGTGGTTTTAGTTCTGGCAGTCTTCAGTTGTTTCCAAGTCCAAATGAGACTTGCTGCAGATACACTTGCAATCACACTGCCACTTTCTGTGAATGAATTTGTTTTCTCCATGTTTTATCACCAACATTTTAGACAATAAGATAGCCTTCCCACGGATGCTGATGCTGTAATGAATTGATAGCCTGCAAGGTGGCAGAATATTAGTATTGATATTTTGGCAAACTTGCTCAGCTGAAACATATTAAATTCAACCTTCTCTTCATATTATACCAATCAAACTTACACTTGATAAGCCAGAGGACTTCGTAGAATGTGTAGACGTTTTCTGGACAAACATCAGGCAAGAAGGCGGAGTGTTTTTAATCCTAGTTTCTTAATCAATAATGGATTTTGCCTACTTTCCTTCGACTTTAACATATTCCTAACTGTCATTTTCCTACAAAGTTCTTTTTGCATTTCAATCTGTCCACAAGCTGAAAGGTTTGTTGATGATTTATAAATTCTAGATACGGCGTATTTCTATATTCTGTTCAAAATAAGTACCAGAGTAAAAATGGTAATATTTCAGCCACTAGATTCTGCATCAAGAACCGATTTCATGGCCTGTGTGTGAAAGTAGTGTGAAACTTGGATACAATACCAGTGATTTCAACTCGTTTTTGTCGTGTTGTGAGAGAGACGAATCTTCACTCTCAGGAACAAACGTCTTGAAGTTGTCGCCTCAGCCAGGATAAGTCATCAAAGTTTACTCTATTTGAACCATGAAAGACTCATGATGGAAGTTTTTATTGTGATAGTCAGCATCACAATACAAAAGAAGTCTCTAGGAAATTGAGTGGCCAGTGTAATAAGGATTGCGTAAAGGAGCCCACAACGAGACTACCAGTATTACAGCATGAATCATGCACAAAAGTTGCACCAAAATCCAACTGAACTTAATTTGACCATGAACTTTCTGCAACATGATTGTGATCTCAAAGTCCAACATCTTCGAAGCAAACATAATTTCTTTCACAGTTCTGGAACTTTTACAGCAATTCCTTGCCATCACAACGTGAAATGTGCCCCTAAAACGGACAATACAAACCCACATTTGAATAGCAGACTTTAAAACCTTTCTATTCTCCTGGCATCTCTGTGTTTTGAGACCACCTTGAAAACACTTTTGATGCGTAATGAATCCATCGAATTCGGACTAACTCAATTATTCACATTCAGTTCAAAAGGATATTTCTGTGGATTCGGAATTTTCTAAGATGCGAAAAGCTTCCAGTAGTCTCTTGAAATTTGCCACGTGCCACTTTTATTAGCAATGGCCCATCGTACATCGTCTTACAGTTATTTCTATTGTGAAATTCGGAAATAGACTCAACTAACTAGGGGACCTGGAACGATGGAGACACACACAGGTGCTTCAAAGTAGTTTGTTTGGCTCTGTCGTCGTGAACCCTGAGGAATCACTCAAGCCGAAGATGAGAGAACCAGTATAAGTGTGTCAAATGACTAGTGAATATGTTAATTTGACGGGTCTAAATTCGTCGTTCTAGAACAAGTGGGTTAATTCTGTTCACACGTAGTATTCACAACCATTAGTCATTATGTCTTCCTCTGTGGAAGTGCGAAGTAAGAGACCAACCACTTCCAACAACTCCGCAAAAAGGAAGCTCGCAAATGCGAACTATATGTGCCCGGTTCTAGAAGTCTCAAGGCTCTGTAGAAACCATCATATATTTTCCCTCACAAAAACAAATTTCACTATCAAATAACAAAGTCCTCTTTTTTCTCTCACCCCCTTGATTATGACGCCCATGATTATTTGACAATCAGATTTAATGGGGGTTTTTTTCTTTTTTACATTCTCAGGGAACAAGCTAAAGGTGACGGGCCACTTCTAAATCGTTTTTGGTTGAATGAAATATACAAGCTTCTACGTATAAAGATGCACTAAGTCACCCAGTTCATGTTTAAGATGCTGTAAATGCTTTCCCAGTACCACACGTAAAATCTTCTCTGTTTAGTCGTGTTGCACCCCACGAAGCAAGGATCGGGTGAGTATATTTCAAACATTTTGTGGACTTGCTTGGATGACCACGATTCTGAAGACAGGCTTGATCAGATTCGTCGCTGCGTGCCTAATGAGGTATCACGCTGGCTTCAATCGGAATCAGGAAGCTCTAGATGCTTTCAGATGCGCCGAGTGTCAGTTTTGAGATTGAAACTGTGGATGGGTTCTACCTGGCGGTCGCTCGTTGTCGGTCCAGTGCTTGGTTTGAGAAAGCTGGTGATTCTTCATGCAAGATCGTTGTATTAACTGACTTGGTTAATGCAGATCAGAATAGGGAAGAGTTGCTCTTTCAACAGACTACTCAAATAGCACAGAATGGCACTGGACGACGTGATTGATCGGCGGTTTGCTAGAGATGAATTTTACCGCAACCACACGGAATTCCACTACAATTGTCCTGTTTGTGCAGATCACTTCTACTTTTGTATTTTCTCCCTTCTTGCTAATGGCGCCTGCCTTGTCAGTGTGACTTCTGTTAGAATTTCTGATTTGTTACTCTGTGATTCGACTCGGATTGTTCATGAATAATGACAGCATGTGCCCTGGTTTGGTTTGTGGATTGGCAGCAAAGCGATCAAGAGAGAGGGTTGAATGTTATTGAGGTGCAGAGCTATTCCTTCTTCCTTCGTTACCTCTTCACTATTTAAGAAATACTTATTGACGTTAACGTTGCTGGGATTCTTCTATACGAACCAATTGAATAGCTCGAATACCGTTGTATGTCACTCAAACTGAGACCCACTTCATGGCTTAAATCAAAGGCCCTGAAGAGTACTTCTGCAGGTCCCTTGCTTGTCATTCACAGCCTCTTTTTTTTCTTCTTTTTTCTTTTTTCTTCTTGGCAAATCACAGACTGTATTTACGTGAAGGATAACGATTTTAAAAGTGGACTGATGTGAGAAGGGTTAGTTGGATTGCATTCCATTCGAAGGGTAAAAAATAAGTTGATTATTAGTGTTTCTAGCAATTGAATCAGATCTTCTTGCGAATGCTGAAGTGCCCAAGAACCCTGGCAGTTTGAGAATGTCTCGAAGGTCCACGGTACTCCGACCTTTGGCCTTTAAGTGTAATGAGACCTGAATTGATTGCAGATGTTTGTGAAGAACTCGAGGGGCATAGAGGTTTTTATCAAAAGCTGGGTGCCAATTGAAGGGACGCGCCAGCTCCTTGGCCTCGTTTTCCTTTGCCCTGGATACGGAGACTCCATCACCTTTTATTTCGAAGGTCAGCATTTAGTTTTCAGTAATTTGGTGTAGCTATTGTCACTGTGAAGTTTTTTAAGAAATGACAAACCAAACTCACTGCAAATACCAGCATTAGCGCGAACATTCGCGTTGGCCGGATACGGTGTGCATGGAATGGATTATCCTGGATTTGGCATGTCGGAAGGATTGCATGGCTATATTCCCAATTTCAACGATCTCGTCGACGACGTTGCATACCAGTACCGAAAAATCATAGGTGAGCCTACTATTCCAGTACAACTACTCCTTGCTTATTTGCAGATAGTCCTCCTAGTTATTTTAGGAAGTTGCTGATCACAAAGAGTCTGGCAGATCGTGCAGAGTTTCGGAGTCTGCCGCGCTTTCTATTCGGAGAATCCATGGGAGGAGCGGTTGCTCTATTAGCTCATCTCAAGGACCCGACCGTGTGGGACGGCGCCGTCCTTGTGGCACCCATGTGCAAGATACATGCAAAGATGTACCCTCCATGGATTATAGTTCAACTCTTGACCGCGCTTGCGAAGATTATACCTAAAGGGAAGCTGGTTAACACCCACGACGTCACAGCTATTGGATTCCGAGACCCCTGCAAGAGGAAACTGGTAAGTGTCGAACCCTGCGGATTCACGTGAGCACGCTCTGTTGGTTTTGATCAGCTTCTAATTTAAGTTTTGATTGACGTAATGATTGATACTGTGATTGCAGGCCTATCTTCAGCCCCTTGCATACACAGAAAATCCTCGACTAGGAACTGCCCTTCAGCTGCTTCGAGCATCGGACCTCATCGAGAGCAAGATGCCTGAGGTGTCGTGGCCGATGATGATAATGCAAGGCGGCAGAGATTGTGTCAACGACCCATCGTCCAGCATTCTTCTCCATGAGAGGGCGAAGTCCACCGATAAGACACTTCGCATCTACGAGGACTCGTGGCACTGCATCTTGCAGGGAGAGCCCGATGACCGAGTCCACTCCGCCATGAGAGACATCATCTTGTGGCTCGACGCTCGCGCCGCTTCCAAGGCCGGGTTCCATCTCTCAAGCGACTCCGGCGAGTTCGAGGCACGAGTTGCTGGAGCTGTACCCAGTTTGATCAAGTTCGGCAAATTTAGCGCACCATCACACGCTTCCTGACAATCGAACCGATCTTGTTGGACGATAACACTGTAGAAACAGTTTTAGTAACTCTAAAATATATTTATATATAGTATTAAGAAGTAAAGGTATTAAAATTTGAAATACTAAATATATTCAACTTATGACATTCACATCAACTACAATACAATAGTTTTTGTTGAATAAAAATATAAATTGTGTTATTGTAAATTAATTTTAAAAAATATAGACTTATTGTGTATTGTCTAGACCATATGTGCGGCAAAAAATGCAACACTAGACAACAAAGACAAGTAATCCACTTGAGATGACAATGACAACAAACTAGACAACAAAGACAAGTAATCCACTAGTCATGACAACAAATTAACAGCTAGAGAATTCAATGTTTAGATTAGAAAGAGCAAAAAGACAATGGCTTATCTTAAATTGGCCATCAATGACTCCATTTGCCTCCAAATTGAAGACTTCAAGGATTCTAAGGGGGCATGACAATATCTATAAAGAGCCTTCTAAACTAATACCATTATTGAAACAATGATCATCTTGAACAAATAAGAGTCTCTTTGCATGTATGAAAATCAAGACATAGCTAGCTTCATGTCATTTATATATTCTATCTTGAAATTCATACATGCAAAGATAGAATATACAAATGCAATATATATTTCATGGTTGTTCTATCTCTTTCATACATGAAAAGATAGGATATTTGTATATCCTATGTCTTTTAATAATATCATTTTATGGTTGTCCTATCTCTTTCATCTTTGCATGTATGAAAATCAAGACATAGCTAGCTTCATGTCATTTATAAATTCTAATCTATATCTAGCATGTAATATACAATACTTTGGATCAACTACAAGAATAAGATATCAACAAGAATTATTTGATAATCAACCATTATATATGATTATATGCCATCAATACAAGAAACACAACCATATATTAAAGAATTGTCCATTGCCAACTCTAGTACAAAATCTAAGGCAATTTAGAATAAATTTTGTTACAAAAATAGAATCCAAATTCTCACCATAATACCATCAACAATACTATCATTTGTGGCCAATTATATCTTGTGAGAGTATTCAAATTTCTTAATTAGATTTCACACCTATGAATAATGATATAAATAAAATATTAGTCGTATTTTTAATTTTGAGAATAATTGATAACAAGAGTTGATTCTTCAACTCAAAATCCTCATGGTACTTCAATAGGAATAGTAAAATGATCATTGATTTATGACTAATACAAACACTTGTTTTGATAATATGTGTTCAAGGCTAGACCCATGTAATTGTTAGCCAAAGCTGATCTAATGTTCTTACGCTCTCAAGAAAAATGCAATACATCCCAAATGTTAAATACATTCCTAATTTATTTAAGAACATGATTTTAGTTGAACAATTAGAAAATTCTATTTCAATGGTACTTTTGACCAAAAATAAGTGCATAATATTCATAAGTGAACAATCTTATAGGATACTAGCTACCAAAATAAAAAATATAATAAATGTCCTACATAAACTAGATACATTAGAAACTATCACCCTAAAATCTTCTTTCCTATGCTATATTCTTGAATTTATAGAAAATTTAGAATCTATCCTTGAATCACCAATAATAGAAGCACATATATTTAAATCAAAATAAAACACTTCTTACATTTGATATTGTAAATTGAAACATTTAAATTATCAAAGTTTTATTCAACTTAGCTCCCAATTACTAGCAATTGAATTATCAAAGTTGAGACAAAAAAAGGTGATATATTCAATATGCATGAAAGTTAAACAAAATCATACTAATATTCCAAAGCATTCTATTCATAGAGCCACATGACAATTAAAACTAATTCATTTTAATTTATGTAGAGCCATTCCAACATCACTAGAAGATAATAATTATTTTATAATATCTGTAGATAATTAATCTTAAAAAATATGAATCTATTTTTTTTAAAGATAAAAGACCAAATATTTTCAATGTTCATAACATTTCAAGGTATGATTGAGAAACAATGTCTTTGTAAGATATGGACCTTAGAATTGGATAGAAGTAGAAAATATCTATTAAATTAATTTTTAGACTATCTTAAAATATAAGATATCACAAGGTAGGTCACAAATGTATACATATTCCATTGGAATAGAGTAGCAGAGCATAAAAAGAAGACTATATCCATAAGATAAGATGTTTAATAATTTGTGGATAAGCACTAAAATATTTTTGACCAAAAGAAGTAAAAACTCCCATCAACTTCATCAACAACTATTTAATTAAGGCCAAATTAGGACAAATACCTAAAGAAAAGTTCATATTATCAAAACCAAATAAATTGGATATTTAAATATTTGGCTATCTAGCCTATTTGTATCTACAAAAATAGAAAAGAGACAAACTAAAAGTATGCTCAAAGTTTAGAATATATCTTAGAATAGACAAAGAAATTAAAGAATATCACAAATATAGACCTTAATTCAAAAAAATTTAAAAGTAAGAAAATCATATTTGATGAGAACAAATATTATAAAAATAATTTTAAAATTTTAAAATTTTAAAATTTATCTCTATCATTATTATTTAGTGATCAAATTCAAATTGAATACAATGAAGAAATAATGCTATCAAAGAACTACAAATTCTATTATCTACAACTAACTCACCAGAATATCACTCAATAAAAAAATTTCCAAAGAAACTAACAATCTTTGCTTTATTGATGGAAAAATTGTCATTCAACTACCTATTTCAAACTTTGCCTCTTCTAGATCTGAGTTTGATGTAAACAAATAATGGCCAACCAAAGATATATACAATGATATGAATTCTTTTAATAGATTTAATAAGCTTAAAGATTCTCTAAGATTTTGTATACATCCAAATATCATATCATTAAGAAAAAAAATAATGATTGATGAAAGATACTACATTAAATTGGGTCAAATCTCAAAGATATCTTTCTAAATTTACAATCATTTGTCAAGGATATAAATAAAATAAAAACAATAAGATCAAAATATTCTTATGTCACTCAAAAAGAATAGATAATTATTCAAAGATAATATAATACTAAATTAGAATGACTATTGCCAATAATAAAAAAAATTAAATGCTCTTGAAACAAGACTAAAGATAAGAAAGGTATTGACGAGAGTAAAGAGGGTTTTATTCTTTTCATGTATATAATCTAATTAGGAGCTATGTGGCAATATTCTATAGGACCTCCAATATGTGTCCAACTTATGAAACATGTATCTAACTTGCATGACAAGTTTTGTACATGAGCACTATATGGTCAACTTGTACCATAAGTCAACAGTACATGCAATATATTATCAATTTGTTGACTAAGTTTTCAACCTACCAATCACCTATAAATATTTATATAGTCAAATTTGTATCTATAAAGCTTCTAAAAAACTTTTTACAAGATGTTATCAAATCTATCTATATTTAGTTTCTATCTAATATTTCTTATCTAAGTAATTATTTATATCTTTGACATTACTTTGTTAAGATAATTGATCTAGAAAATGAATCTTCAAACTTTGAAAAAACAATACAATATAAAGAATAGAAAGAAGATATGCAAAAAGAAATGGATTCAAATATCAAAAATAATATTTAAAAACCATTAAAATTCTTGCTTAGAAAAATTTTAATATTTATAAAATCAATATAAAAAATTAAATGAAAAGAAAATAAAGAAGTAAAAAAATACAAAACAAGATTAATAACTGAAGACTTTGAACAATAAGAAAGAGTTGACTTCAAAGATACCTTTGCATCTAGTATAAAATAGGTCACAATCAGATTCTTAGTTGTATTTATATCTCAAAAGAAATGGCAACTAGCTCACTTAGATATTAAAATTATATTCTTGCAAGAAAAAGTATAAAAAGAAGTCTAAAACTTACAATCAAAAGGATTTGTAGAAAAAGAAAAAGAATTCATGGTATATAGACTTAAAAAAGTATTATATTACTTATAACAAGAATTAAAAATATAGTACCAAAAAATAGATTTTTACTTTAAATACCAAGGCTTTTAAAAATAAATTGAAGACTATAACCTATATGTGATTAGCAATGGTAATAAGATTTTGCTTCTAATACTATGTATTGAGAATTTACTATACACAAGAAATTGGAAAAAATAAAGGCAATGGCTTAGACAACAACTTAAAATAAAATTTGAAATATCAATAAAAAATAACAATACAATAATTCTATTTCTTAGAGCTAAATCTATTCGAGTTATACATGGCATTTTTTTAATATAAAGAATTTACGCTCTTTAAACTTTGTTGCAATATGGCCTTAAAAATTGTGTCATTTGCTCTATAATAATGATTAAATATCTCATATTAACCACATATATATTTTTACTATTAGTTGATCCTACAAAATATAAATTTTTAGTTAAAAAATTGATATATTTATGTCATATTGGTCTTGATGCTAAATATGCTATAAATCAAATCAATAGACATATGGATAGATCACAAGTCCTTCATCTAAGAGTAATATAAAGAATCTCATAGTATATTAAAAAAATTTAAAGCTAAAAATTATATACAAGAAATCAAATTCACAAAAAATTCAAGGCTTGGTAGACTGTGACTAGGCAAGAGACATTAAAGGCATGTAATCTATTAAAGGCCTTGTCTTTGTATTGGCAATAGACCAATAACTTGGATGTTAAAAAAAAAATCAAGTATTGCAACATCTTACATAGAAGCCAAACATATGGCTATGTCACCAACCTCATGCAAAAGCTCATAGTTAGAAATTCTTAGCAACAATTTAAGAATGATTATTAACAAATCAATTACTATAAATTGTAATAATGAAGCCTCTATAAAGATGGCTTAAATCCTAAAATAATTCCATATAATAAACATATTTCAATATATTTTTATTATTTAAGAAAAAAATAGAACAACAAGAAATATAACTAAATTATATAACAATAACCAAACATGTTGTAGATTTGTTTACAAAACCTCTAACAAAAGGTTTATTCGAAAAATTCAAAAATAAATTGAATATGAATAGTTATAAAGAAATCTTTATAGAACTATCTTTAAAGAAAGAGAGAACAAAATATTAAATTTTCTATTCCTTTGCTTTTCTTACTTTATAATCCATCATCATATTACTATTTAGTTATATACGTGACAAATTGATATAGCAAAACTAACTCCATCTACTTAAAGAAGCCACAATCTT